GGTGGGGGCCGGTGGGCAGCAGAGGCCGAGACGCCTGGTTCCGCGGGGTCGCCGCCGCCTGGAGCTGGGCAGTCTGGCCCTGGGAACCGGGAGACGGACGCATTTCGGCCACTGAGGTACCTTGTGGAGCCTGGACTCAAAGGAGAGCGTTTCGTAGGATTTTAAAAGTCGCTCGTGGGAGACTTCCTCGGGCCGGGGTGATTTACCAGAGTCGTTTCTCCAACAATCTTTGCTGAGGCAGGAGGGTGGGGGCTTTTTATTACCCCACTCCCTAGGTCAAGTTATCAAATTTAGAAATAGCCCAGGTTGGTTTCACTTTTTATTCTAAGTTAAAGCCAAGTATCTTTGTAGTTAAAAAGAGTGGGTGTCTTTAAACAATTACTAATTGTTTTTTTCTGTCAATAACTAGTGTTGCGTAGATAGTGAAAACAGTGCTTTTTATTTATTGTCTTTTCAAAATTACTGAGGAATAACTTCAGGAAGAAAAAATATTTTTCAGCTTTTGGAAAGTTTTTCAGTAACGTAATTTCAGGTTAACGTTTCCTGAAGGTGACTTGGTCTCTATTCATCTTCACCAGATATTGGAAGGAAGAAGGTCCCCAGATTTCTGGCTACTTAGCAGTATTGTGGCATTTTCTTTCTTAACTGTAGTTTTTTCTAACAACTTCTAACTATAAGTCAATATTGCACACGACACCCTTTTATCTAAATATATTTATAATGCTGATGATTTTGCTACAACTTGTGTAGATGCAGCTTTAGTGACTAAAAGTAAAATTTATTTTGTATAAGTGAAACAAGGTAGACAGCTTAACAGTTTCCCCAGATTTAGGAGTCCTTTTTTTTTTTCTTCTTGTTTTCTTTTTGAGTTGGAATCACTGCCTCCCAGGCTGGAGTGCAGTGGTAAGATCACAGCTCACCACAGCCTGGACCTCTTGGGCTCAGGCAATCCTTCTGCTTCAGCCTCCTGAATAGCTGGGACTACAGGTACCTGCCAGCATGCCCAGATGAGGTCTCACTATGTTGCCTTAGACTGGTATCAAACTCCTGGGCTCAAGCAATCCTGCCATCTTGGCCTCCGAAGTGCTGGGATTACAGATGTGAGCCACCATGCCTGGCCAGGACTCTTAAATTTCTAATCTTTTTGTCTACTTTTAGCTTATTTTGTGGTCTTTGTCAGTCAGAATAAATAATACTCAACATTCAACATGGTATAGGCATTTAATGCCTGAATTGTACCTCTTTTTTTTTTTTTGAGTTGAAGTCTCACTCTCACCCGGGATATAGTGCAGTGACACACTCATGGTCACCGCAGCCTCGACCTGCTGGGTTCAGGTGATCCTTCCGCCTCAGCCTTCCAAGTAGCTGGAATTAAAGGCATGTGCCACCATGCCTAGCTAATTTTTAAAAAATTTTATTTATTGTAGAGATGAGGTCTCACCAAGTTGCCTAGGCTGGTCTTGAACCCTTGGGCTCAGGCAATCCTCTCACCTCAGCCTCCAAAGTGCTGGGATTATAGGTGTGAGCCACTGTACCTGGCCTGAATTGTAGTTTTAGAGTTGTGCCAACAAGTACTTTGTTTTCAAGTAAATACTGTACCTCCCCTGTAGAGTGATGCATACACACCTAGTTTGTCAAAATTCTAAATGTTCATCTAGCTTAAATACTTAAGAAAAGAGTGAGCTCTGAGTTCTGAAGGTCTCAGGAGCAGCTGTAGTTTCCTTATAGCTGGGTGTGTTGTTCTCTGGTCTTGCTATTTAAAGAAGGAAATAAACAGCATTCTTAGGAGGTTTTGCTAGTGGGAGATTGTGGGATAGTAATTGTTGCATTCTTTGCTATTTTCTAAAGTTATGGGAGAGTGCTTTCTCCAGTGTAGATTATTTTTGTTTCTTTTTTTTAACTTGAGAGAGGTTCTCGCTCTGTCACCCAGGCTGGAGTGCCTTGGCACAATCATAGCTCACTGCACTCTTGAACTTCTGGACTCAAGTGAACCCTCTGCCTCAGCCTCCTGAGAAGCTAGGCCTACAGGCATATGCCACCATGCCCAGCTAATTTTTTATTTCTTGTAGAGACAAGGTCTCACTATGTTGCCCAGGCTGGACTCAAGCCATTCTCTTGCCTCGACTTTCCAAAGTGCAGGGTTTACAGGTATGAACCACTGTGCCTAGCCTCCAGTGTAAACTTAAGAGCTTTCTCTAGGAAGGCATTCAGAATTGATGTAAGCAGTGATGTGAACTTCAAAGTATATACAATATGGTGGTGTATTTATATACCTTGATCACCTGGACATATCCATTTATGAAACCTTGGCAAACGCCTCCATGTTATTTTTGAGGAGAGATCAGTTAATGGGCCACAGATTACATGAGCATGGTATACCATCATGTAGCTTATTGCTCAATTCTGCTGAATTTTAAAGTTCATTAATCATCTCCTGCAAAGCCTTTTGCAACTTTCTCCCAGATCTCTGAAAGCATTCGATAAATAAACTAAAAAAGTACACATACACAGCATATTTGTATATATACACACACATATATACACATGTATTTAGTATGCTTTATATATATACACACATGCGTGCACACATATATGTTTAGTATAGAGAGATCTCATCTTTTTTGTTTTTTCTTTTTGAAACAGGGTCTCACTTTGTCCAGGCGGGAGTACAAGGGTTCATCATAGCTCACTGTAACCTGTAATTCCTAGACTTAAGCATTCCCCTACTTCAGCCTTTTTTAAAAAAATCAGGTTCTCACTCTGTCACCCAGGCTGGAGTGCGCCATTCACTGTAGCCTTAAACTTTTGCACTTCTGGGTTTGGGTGATCCTTCCACCTCAGCATCTAGAGTAGCTGGAGCTACAGACACGCGCCACCACACCTGGCTAATTGTGTGTGTGTGTGTGTGTGTGTGTGTGTGTGTGTGTGTGTGTGTGTGTGTGTTGTGTGTGTGTGTGTAGAGATGAGTTCTTGCTACATTGCCCAGGCTGATCTTGAACTCCTGGACTCAAGCAGTCCTCCTGTCTTGGTCTCCCAAAGTGCTGGGATTATAGGCATGAGTCACTGTACCCAGCCTTTAGCCTTTTTTTGAGTAGCTAGGACTACAGGTGTGTGCCACACACCCAGCTAATTATTAAAATAAAGTTTTTACATTTATTTTTTGTAGAGACAGGGTCTTGCTTTGTTGTTCAGGCTGGCCTCAAATTCTTGGTCTCAGGCGTTCCTCCTGACTGGCCTCCCAAAGAGTTGGATTGCAAGCATAAGCCACTGCTCCCAGTCATTAGCTCTCTTTAATTTTGTTGGTAGTCTAAGGGTTAACAGTCATGACTTTCCTTTGCAGCCATGCAGTTCCTGACTCTTTAATATTAAGCTGATAGTTCTTTTACAAAGTAAGTTTCTTACCCTCCTCGTCCTATACATTTACATAAACCTTAAATTTATCTCTTGAAATTGAGTTTTGTTTTTAACTTCTTTTGATTTTGGCTTCTGTTCTTTGATAGAAATACAGCAAACATTAATGGTAGATGGTATGCAAAAACTAAAAAATTCTTGCATTTTATTCAAGGTAAGGACTTGAGATCTTCCTCTCACAGTCCCTTTCGAAAAATTCTTTTATCCCTCCTGGTATCCCTTCTCTTAGGACAGTTTTGTATTTGTAATTCTTCTTTTTGTATGTTTGCAGATAACATACCTATTCTTACTTCGAAAGATTATACTATATGAGATCTTGTTTTCCTCCTAAAGTTTGACAGGTTTTTTTTTTAGACATCATCTTGCTCTGTCACCCAGGCTTAGGGTGCATTGGTACGAACACAGCTCACTACACACAGGTTCAACTTCCTAGGCTCAAGCAATCCTCCTGCCTCAGCCTCCCAATAGCTGGTATTACAAGGGTGTGTCACCATGCCCCACGAATTTTTAATTTGTAGAGATGGGTCTCACTATATTGCCCAGGCTGGTCTTGAACTCCTGGCCTCAGCAGACCCCATGTCTAAGCCTTCCAAAGTGCTGGGATTACAGGCATGAGCTACTGCTTCTGACAAGTCTGGCAGGTTTTTTTTTTTTGAGTTGGATTCTCACTCTGTTGTCCAGGCTGGAGTGTAGTGGCACACTCACCGCTACCACAGCCTTGACCTGCTGGGTTCAGGTGATCCTTCTGCCTCAGCCTTCCAAGAAGCTGGAACTGCAGGTGTACGCCACCATGCCCAGCTGATTTATTGTAGAGATGTAGGGATGAGGTCTCGCCAAGTTACCCAGACTCCTCTTGAACCCTTGGGCTCAGGCAGTTCTCTGGTCTCTGCCTCCCAAAGTGCCGGGATTACAGGCATGAGCCACCGCGCCCAGTTGACAGGTTTTAAATTGAAGTGACACTGAATGCTAGTTCTCATGTTTTCCAGTTTTGAAATATGCAGTTACTAATAAAGGTTAGTATATCTAAGTATTAGATAACTTTTTACTACTTCAGCTGGCATCAAGCTGTTTTGACTTTGGTATTAGTAAAAAATTTCTAGTCGACAGTGCCCATGTCTCCCATATTCTCAAAGTACTTTATTTGCATTTTTATTATATCATTAACCTGTCTTGTTTATGTTATTTGTGCATCTTCCATGACTTCATTATGAATACCTATAACAGTGATTCAGGGAGTTGCTACACCATTACCTGTATTTGATTGCCAGCATGGTCCCTTGTAGTTAGTTGCTTATCCATGGGCAAGTTCTTTTACACTCTTTCATTGCTTTTTTTTCCTCATCTGTAAAATGGGATTAAGATAGTACCTGTTCATAAGGCTGTTACGTGAAAAAGTGCTAACTCGAAGTTCATGGCTTAGTACATGTGAAACCCTTAAAAATATCAGCTGTTATAAAATTAAGGTTATATTCATTCTAATGCCTGACACTAGAAAGTGCTTGATAAATACTGGTTGAGTTGATAAATAATAGATAAAGAAACTTTACTGTAATATAATGAATAATTTCTGTTTTTATTTTTATTTATTTATTTTGAGTCGGGGATCCTTCTGCCTCGGCCTTCCAAGTAGCTGGAACCACAGGCATGTGCCACGCCTGGCTAATTTTTTGATTTATTATAGAGACAAGATCTCACCATGTTGCTCAGGCTGGTCTTGAACCCCCTGAGCTCAGGCAATCCTC